CCAGGCTGTGGCCCGGTGGTCCCTGCTGCGCGCCCCGAGCCCCGAGAACCATGCAGATGTCCTACGCCATCCGGTGCGCCTTCTACCAGCTGCTGCTGGCCGCGCTAATGCTGGTGGCGATGCTGCAGCTACTCTACCTGTCGCTGCTGTCCGGGCTGCACGGACAGGAGGAGCAAGACCAGTATTTTGAGTTCTTTCCCCCGTCCCCGCGGTCCGTGGACCAGGTCAAGGCGCAGCTCCGTGCCGCGCTGGCCTCCGGAGGCGTGCTGGACGCCAGCGGCGACTACCGCGTCTATAGGGGCCTACTGAAGACCACCATGGACCCCAATGATGTGATCCTGGCCACGCACGCCAGCGTGGACAACCTGCTGCATCTGTCTGGCCTGTTGGAGCGCTGGGAGGGCCCGCTATCCGTGTCGGTGTTTGCCGCCACCAGGGAGGAGGCGCAGCTGGCCACGGTGCTGACCTATGCGCTGAGCAGCCACTGCCCCGATTTGCGTGCCAGAGTCGCCTTGCACCTTGTGTGCCCCTCGCGCTACGAGGCCGCTGTGCCCGATCCCCGAGAGCCGGGGGAGTTCGCCCTGCTGCGGTCCTGCCAGGAGGTTTTTGACAAGCTAACCAGGGTTGCCCAGCCCGGGATCAATTACGCGCTGGGTACCAACGTCTCCTACCCCAATAACCTGCTGAGGAATCTGGCTCGTGAGGGGGCCAACTATGCCCTAGTAATAGATGTGGACATGATGCCCAGCGAGGGACTGTGGAGAGGCCTGCGGGAAATGCTGGATCAGAGCAAGCAGTGGGCAGGGACGGCGCTGGTGGTGCCTGCCTTTGAGATCCGCCGAGCCCGTCGCATGCCCACAAATAAGAATGAACTGCTGCAGCTCTACCAGGTGGGCGAGGTGCGGCCCTTCTATTATGGGCTGTGCACGCCCTGCCAGGCGCCCACCAACTACTCCCGCTGGGTCAACCTTCCTGAAGAGACCTTGCTGAGGCCTGCCTACGTGGTGCCTTGGCAGGACCCCTGGGAGCCATTCTACGTGGCTGGAGGCAAGGTTCCCACCTTCGACGAGCGCTTTCGGCAGTACGGTTTCAATCGCATCAGCCAGGTACCTATAAGGGAGACCGCAGGGAAATGGCGCTGGGAGGGTGGTGGGGTCAGGGAGCTATGAGTGGCCCTGTATGGAAAGGGAGCATTGTGACAGGAGCATAGTTCAGTAGTAGCTGGATGTTGTGGAAGGATGCCGCTAGAGGAGTGGGGATACTGGAGTCAGTTTTAGGGATGTCAGTCTTGGCCCCAGGAATGTCATCAAACTTTGCTGACCTGTCTCTCCCCCCACAGGCCTGTGAGCTGCACGTGGCAGGATTTGATTTTGAGGTGCTGAACGAAGGTTTCCTGGTTCATAAGGGCTTCAAAGAAGCCTTGAAGTTCCATCCCCAAAAAGAAGCCGAAAATCAGCACAATAAGATTCTTTACCGCCAGTTCAAACAGGAGTTGAAGGCCAAGTACCCGGACTCCCCCCGACATTGCTGAGTCCTTCCCTGCCCTAGTCTGAGAAGTCTCAGCCTCCTCTCTCCTTAGGCCAACCCTCAGGCCTGACGGGGGTAAGAAATATCACTCCACTTTACAGTGGTAGCTGTGGTGTTGGAACACTGGACTTGAACATGGGGTGCTGGGATCAAGTCCTAGCTTTACCACTAACTAGCTGTGTGGCCTTGAGCAAATCCTGTTCCCTCTCTGAGCCTCAGTTACCCCGTCTTTAAAAAGGGAGGTGAGAATATCTACCTCACAGAACTGTTGGGAGGCTCAGATGAGATGCTATATGTGAAAACATTCTGTAAGCTTCGTACAAATGTGAAGTATTATTAATATTATTACTGTATTATTGTTGTTATTGCTGTTATTATTAACAATCTTGGGTGGGTAGGCAGTAGGAGAGCAAAAAGTATGAATGGGGGCAGAGCTGAGAAGTCTGAGTACTTAACAAAATGGGCTTTTTGGAAGAAATCAGATAAAGACTTTGAATTTAGTTCTTAGCTTTTGAGCTGAAGCCTAAACTCCCTGGTTCTCCCAGGCCTCGGGAGTTCTGGAGAAGGGAATGGTCTTCAGGTTCTGTACCCTCGAATAGGCTGGGCTGGGTTATTTGCCTGCCGATGACAATGTGTAAATAAATGAGTGTTCACAACCACAGCCGGCTCCATTTCTCTCCTGAACCGGGCAGGCGGAGGGGTCACGGGTTCTCCCCTTTCACGCCGCGGGGGGTTGGAGGAAGGTGACCGCGGACCGAGGGTCACCAGCGGTAAAGCAAGAAACCGCAAGAGTTTTTTCAGCAGGTTGACGGCCAGTGTGAATTCCGACCGGTTGCTATGGAAGCCAGCCAGCGGTATCCCAGCATGCCTCTTCCCAGCCGTCCAATCGTGAGCTTCCAAACGGGCGCTTCTTGATGACGAATACGGAAGCGCGGACAGGCCCCGCCTCCCTGTAAAGAGGGATAGGGGCAGCGCTTCCGGGAGCCGGGCGGGGGCTGCGAGAACCCGCAGCTGCGGGCACCGGGCACCTGTCAGAGCGTGTCGGACTTCACGCCGGAGGCTCCACTCCCTGCGGTGCGTAACGCCACCCATGGCGCCCGGTTCGGTCTGTCCAGCTAGTCGGTCGGAGCCCGCGCAATCTCCAGGGCCGAAGCGGAGACTTAACGAGCCGGACGCGTGCGGGCCCGCGGGCCCCAAGCTGCCCGCGGAAGAGCCAGTGATTCCCCTGCCCGCGCCGGCGCGTACTGGGGTGGGGCAGGGTGGGAGGCCCCTCCGCGGAGGGGGACCGTGGAGGCCTGCCTTCGAGATGCTCACTTTCTGAAAAGATAACTTGCATGTGCACAGTGCCTTACAGTTTGCTTTTCCATCCCTTACCCCAGCAATCTACAGTACTCAGAGTAGCAGTGATTATTCACTCTTCCCACCCGGGGTAAGGAGAGGAGGTTGTGATTTAATTGAGCTCATTCAGTAGAATAAGAGGCACCCGGAGGAACGACCCCCATCCCTTCCTACGCCCATTTTGGTCCCCATTACATTCCATCCTATCAAGTAAATATATTTAACAGTAAAGAGGAATTGCAAAATTTGGAAACTGTTGGAACTGAGGCTTGATAAGGGGAACGATGAGGCTGGTTTGGAGAACCTAGGTTTTCAGCTTCAGGTTATTTGTGAAATCATTCAGGAATGTAACTAAACTCTCCTCCAGTCCAGTTATTTTACAAAACTCGAATTGCTGTCAAGGAGGTTAACAGAACACTTTGGGTTTGCTATCACTACAGGGGCCTGGGGCTACCAAGAGTCAAAGCCATCCCCTGCCTCGCAAAAGTTTGCTTTGTTTAATTTGTATTTTCGAACCCTGCAATCATCAAGTGAGTCGGTACTGTGCTAGGTGAGTAAGGTGCATGTGCAGCCCTGCTCTGGTGAGGCTTGGGGTCTGGTTGGGGAGACAGACATGAGATGGGCAAATAGAGAGGAAAGGTAAGCAAATAAGGTTTCCTGGAGGGAGTGGGGTCTACTCCAATCTAAAGGACTACAAAACAGTGCCCAGAGAAGTTGGAAGAACATCGCAGTGAAATAGAACCCCCAGGAGGCAGAGAGATTATCTGTTGAGAGGCCTATTTAGTCTTTCTCTTAGGTGATATCTTGGCAGCAGCATTTGGCACTGTTACCTCTCCTTCCTTCTGAAATTCTCTCCATGACTGAGTTTTCCTCCTCCACCTCTTGGTAATTTCTTTCTCCTTTGCAGGGATCTCATCCTCTGCCCCTTTGGTGACCCTGAGAGTTCCATCTTTTTTTTTTTTTTTAATATATATTGATTTCAGAGAAAGGAAGGGAGAGGGGGAGAGAGAGATAGAAACATCAATGATGAGAGAGCTGTCATTGATCGGCTGCCTCCTGCACGCCTCCGACTGGGGATCGAGCCCACAACCTGGGCATGTACCCTGACCAGGAATCAAACTGCCAATCTCCTGGATCCTAGGTCAATGCTCCACCACTGAGCCACACCCGGCTGGGCCCTGAGAGTTCTATCTTGGATGTCTTCTCACTCCACACATTCTGCGTTGCTGGTTGCATGCTCTCCCAGGCTCTGAAGACCTTGCTGTATGCCATTGACCAGATTTCTGCAACCCGGATTTCTCTCTGAGGCTTAGACCCATGTGCCTCCAACCCTGCCCCTTCTCTCATTTCGGGGTCCTTGCACATGCTACTCCTCTTGGAATGTTCCCTTCCTCAACCAGATCAGCTCACCTGTCTGGCCCATCTTCGTCTGCAAGCCCTCATGCTGCAGCAACTCCAAGTCCCAGTTAGGTGCCTCTCCCATATGCCCCACTCTCAACTCTTTTCACACCACACTAATGGTCTGTTCCTTTGCCTGTTTCTCCCAGGAACTTGTAAACAGCTTGAGGTCAGAGACTATCTGCCACAGTTGTGCCCAGCACCTACCAGAGTGTCTGATGGTACCTAGCATATATTAGAATTTCAATAAATATTAGGTGAGTGAATAAAAGGAGTGCTTAACAGTGTTCAGTGTTGCTGAGAAGGCAACTATGGTAAGCATTGAAAAATATTGGCATTAGGCACAAGGAGGTTGTCAGTTAACTACAGGATTAGTTTCAGCTGAGAGTGATCATACAGAAAGGAGGTGAAAGAGTAGAAGTGTGCACAGGCCTTGGAAGGTATAGCTGTGAGGCGGAAGATGGGGAGCAGTTACATGGAATAGAGGAGGTTTTGTGTTTCCGCTTTTCCTAAATGGGGGGAATACCTGAGCATCTAAAGTTTCATGGAAAGGAGGGAGCGTTGAAAATACAGAAGAGGGAAGGGAGCACTGCTCACGTGAAGTCCCAGAGAAAGCAGGAGATGGGACTGGACCCAGGGCACAGTGAGAAGACGAGGTTGTGGAGTGTTCTCAGGAAGAGACATGGAGGACATTATAGGCAGAAGGAACAGCATGAGGCAGGTAAGGGGAAGAAAAAAGCATCTGGTATATTCAAGAATTGACCATTAGATGGTGGGGTGCAGGAGCTGGACCATTAGTTCAAATCTAGTAGGTGCAGGGCCTTCAAAGCCCCAGTCAGAAGTTTCAGCCCAGTCCTGTAGACAGTGAGGAGCTCACTCTTGGCCTTTCCCATCTATGGATCATCACGTTGGCCAGTATTCCCAGGATTCTGATCACCAACAATGTCCAAGGGCGTGAGCATCTCCATGGCTTCTGGGAGATGTACATACAGGGCCACATGCACCTTCTCTACCCAGCATATGCTCAGGGTGTGGCGAGTCCAGTCACTTCCCCAGCTGTCCCCAGCTGCGGTCAGGCTTCGTTTGACTTCCAAGGGACCACTTTCCTGCTTGGAGCTGTGGGTGGTGGTGAGTGATGGCTCCATTCCTCCTTCCAGAGCCCAGATGCCGCTCCAGCCTTCAAGCAAAGACACAGAAGAGATGGAAGCAGAGGGCGATTCAGCTGCTGAGATGAATGGAGAGGAAGAAGAGAGTGAGGAGGAAAGAAGTGGCAGCCAGACTGAGTCGGAGGAGGAGAGCTCAGGTGAGGCACACATGGACACACACACACACACACACACACACACACACACAGTGCTTGCCCACTCCTCAGCCAGCCCTGACACACACACACACACACACACACACACACACACACACACACACACACTCTCTGCTGGCCCACTCCTCAGCCAGCCTGACTGGCCTCTTGTCCCAGAGATGGATGACGAGGACTACGAACGGCGCCGCAGCGAGTGCATCAATGAGATGCTGGACCTGGAGAAGCAGTTCTCTGAGCTAAAGGAGAAGTGAGCGTGGGGCACCTGGGGCGGGGTCATCAGGCACCTGGGGCAGCTGCGGACCTGGGACCTGGTGCTAGGCCCAGGGGGCTGAAGCCAAGAGTGAGCGAGGGCCTCATGCAGGGTGCGCTGTGGATTGGTCCCCCATGTGTGTCTGACAGATGAGCACATTTTACCTCCCAGGTTGTTCAGGGAACGACTGAGTCAGCTGCGGGTGCGGCTAGAGGAAGTGGGGGCTGAGAGAGCGCCTGAGTACACAGAGCCCCTAGGCGGACTGCAGCGGAGCCTCAAGATTCGCATTCAGGTGGCAGGTCTGTGGGCTAGGGTGCCCCCCAGTCCCTTTCTCTGTTCCCTTACCAGCCCATGGTCCCTTCCTCTCTCATCCTTGCCCTGCCCTGCCCTGCCCATGCTCCCAGCACCACTTCTGGGATACTGGGGTCCCTGGCCGAGCTGGGCCTCGCATCCCCCTCCTTCCCTCTGCAGGGATCTACAAGGGCTTCTGTCTGGATGTGATCAGGAATAAGTACGAGTGTGAGCTGCAGGGGGCTAAACAGCACCTGGAGGTGACTGATGGGCGCCAGGGGAGGAGGGCTGAGGTGACCCACCTGTCCCTCCTGGCTGAGCTGCTCCCTCCTCTTCCAGAGTGAGAAGCTGCTGCTCTACGACACCCTGCAGGGGGAGCTGCAGGAGCGGATCCAGAGGCTGGAGGAGGACCGCCAGAGCCTGGATATCAGCTCCGGTGAGGCAAGGAGCCAGCCCCGAGCACCCTGGCTCAGACCCGGCTCTGTCAGTGCCCACCTCCTGCCTGAACCTTAGCATCCCTGACTGCTCAAGGGGATAGTAAGAGGGGTGGCTGTGGGGGCCAAATGAAACCAGGCATGGAAAGGGCCTGGCCCCATGCCTGGCACACAGTGGGGATTCAGGAAGAGTGGGTCCCCCTGTTCTCCTTTGCCCCTGCTCTCTTTCCAGAGTAGGAGATGGCATTCTGACTCTCTCACATATATAATAGCTACAGTCCCCCCATGTCCATAGTGCCTGGGGAGGCTCTGGGGAGGCAGGAATCATCATCAACCCACTGTCCACTAAGCAAATGAAGAAACTGAGGCCCACAGATGTGCAGTGACCTAGTTCCCAGGTTGTATATCTGTGCAGCTGGGACCTGAACTCAGCTTCCATCCCACAAGCCCAGTGCTCTCTCTGCTGTCCTGGGAGGTGGTTGATGGGGAAGAGCAGGCTATAAGGGTGGGGGTATCCTGGGAGGTCCAGCACCATGATCCTGACTCTGGGTCTGGGGACACAGAGTGGTGGGATGACAAACTACACGCCAGAGGCAGCTCAAAGACCTGGGACTCCCTGCCGCCCAGCAAGAGGAAGAAGGCACCCCTCGTTTCTGGTATCCTTCCACCCGCAGGGCCTGAGCGGAGCAGGATGGCAGGGTCAGCTCCAGAGCTGGGGGAGGGGGAAGGATACGGAAGAGAGTCAGACAAGGCACATGTATGGTCATTTGGCTTCATGTGGCTGTGTCCAGGCAAGTCCAGCTGTCAGGAGTTTTTTGTGGGGCTGTGGGTCTCTCCTGGGTTGTGTGGACCGTGGAAAAATAGAAACATCTGTTCAGTGACCTCCTATAACTTCCTGAAGAGAAGTCCCCTCTGAGACCCTCTGGCTCTCCCACAGTGTCCCAGGCCTTCCCACCCCTGTGCCTTTGCTCACTTTCCACTCTCTTGGAGTGCCTCCTGTCTGCCTGTGCCTGTCAGTTCTCATCTCAGACGCTATCTCCTCTGTGAAGTCTCTCCTGGTCTTCCCCCAAAGCTGTGGCTTCTCTCTCGTCTGTATCCCTGTGGCCTAAACCGGGACACCCGCATCCTGCATGGGAGTAGTTGCCTCTGCCCCACCTTAGGCATGAGCCCCAGCAGTCCAGGGCCTGCTGTGCCTTTATTACTCTGGCATAGCCCAGCGCAGAGCTGAACTGACTTCTCACCCCTGCTCCCCACCCCTGTTCCCCGAATTCCTGCAGTAACCAGAGTCTCATGGCAATAGGAATCCAGTTCAGGAAGGAAGGGAGGGAGGGAGGAATCTGGATTGCCTGCTTGAGGAGTGAGTGGGAGGGGAGGGCTTGGAGACATCAGGTACAGAATATGGGATGGCAGAATGGATGGTCCCCAGAGGGGTGTATGAGACCAAAGGAGAGACCAGTCTGTGTGTGGATGGGGAAAGGGGCCGATGGGGGACAAGGAAGAGAAGGAGCAAGGTCCCTGAGTAGGTGGGTGGATCTCAGCCTACTGACCTGAGAGAGAAGGTGAGCAGGAGCCAAGGCAGGTGAGGTAGTGGTTAGACTCAGTGCCCCTGCCACCACCCTCATCGCCCTTGGAGGACTCAGTGAGGTAGGCCATAGCCCCCCCCCACACACACACCCAGAGAACCTGGGGGCCAAGAGGTAGGTGGAGCCTGTGTCCTTAGCACTACCTCTCCTGAGTGTTAGAGCTCCGGGCCCAGGCCATCACCTGCCCCTCTTCTGGGCTTTCTGCTTCCTTGACCCAGTTGCAGGCCCTTACATCGTGTACATGCTGCAGGAGATCGACATCCTGGAGGACTGGACAGCTATCAAAAAGGTGGGTCTCGGAGAGGGGACTGGCAGTGCAGGCCCCACCCAGACACCAGCTCTGCCTCTGCAGGCTCCGCCCCAGGCTTTCCGAGGTTCCCAGCATTGCTGCCAGCTCACACGCCTCCTTTTGCCCAAGGCTGCCCTGGAGGAGGGAACTTGTAGTCTGTCAGCCTCTTTCTGGTTCCAGGGCAGGTTTTGATGGAGTGGGGGAAAGGGAAAGAGGAAGGAGGGAAAGCAGGTGGGCCCCAGGCCTCTGACAAGATGTCACAGCAGAGCTTTGTCTAGAAAGTGCCTTATGCTCCCCACACACCCCAACCCGGTGCAGCACGGGCCCAGCAGCCCCTACCCCAGAGAGGCAGATGTGGAGGGGACTTGCCAAGCCCGAGGCGGGCTCTCAGGGGGGTTTTTCTTCTCTCCCACCAGGCTAGGGCAGCTGTGTCCCCTCAGAAGAGAAAATCAGATGGTAAGAGCCACAGGGGGTTCCCACCTCCCACCACCTCCTCCCCCACCCTAGCCTCCAGAAAGGAGCCCAGAGAGGCAATGGCTGTGTAGGGTCAGTGGCCTGAGAGTTCAGACAGTGTGGGTTTGAGGGCACTGTGGGAGTTTGGGAGCAGGAGCCAGGTGGGGGTGGGGAAGCTCTAAGTTGTTGGGACTAAGGGACAGAGCTCCCCACCAGAATTGGTCAGGGAGGGCTGGAATACTAAGCACCAGCATCTGGGGGGCCCATAACTGAGGGCCAGATCAAGGACATTCCTCTTAGGTCCCAAGATGAAGTAGCTGCCTCCCTCTTATTTCAGCTTCCTCTCACCTGCAATGATTTTCCCCTTTCCACATACCCCAGGACCATGACCCTGCAATTCACAGCCAATGGGCCGTCGGAGCAACACACACCAAACCCAGGATTTGCATTTTCCTGCTGTAGAGGGGCAGACTGACAAGCCCCTCAGGGTCTTTCCAGCCTGTTCTCCAGTGCTGCTGCCCAGCCCTCCCCTCCAGGCATCACTGGTTTGGACCCCCTCATCTGCCCCTCCTCGGGGCATGTACAGCTGTGGCCCGGAGCTGTCCAACCCAGGCAAGACTGTCCTTCATCCTCAGCCAGGCCCCTACCTTCCCCTGCCGAAGCTCAGCCCCCTCGGTCCCTCCCTGACCAAGAAGACCTGCCTCATCTTAAGCCAAAGCACGTCCTTCCTGCTGACCTTGGACCTGGCTCCCTAGTCACTGAGCCAGTGAGTTGGGCCCACTTCATAGGAACTCTGAGCCAGAAATGATATTTCGGGGGCCTGTCCTGGCTGTTGCCATGGTGAGAAGGCAGGCTTCTCAGGTCTTCTTTAGGCAGTCCTTGGTGCCTGCCTCCCACATTGTGGGCACTGGAATTAAAACATTTCCTGGGTCTCTGGTGTGACCCACGTGTGTCTGATTTACCTTGCAAGGCAATCAGGGCCCCATGGGGCGTGCCTGAGATAGGCAGTCTTTTCTGGGGTCCCTGGTACCTCTCACTACCCAGCAGGAGCCTATCCACTCTGACTTGGGTTATAGACTGGGGAAAAGGTGGGGCTCTCCTACAGCCACCCCCAGACGCTGAGGGCTAGGCCCTGGACTGCCTGGTGCTGGTGAGAAAGTCTGAAGCAACATGTGGCACAGGCAGAACACGTGGCCTGAGAAGGGGAAGGGAGCTGGGTGCTGCGGGCTTGGAGACTGGTCATGTCTGCACCTGCCCATCACTTGGCAGATTGGCAAGGCAGGCTGGCAGGGTGTGCGTGTGGGAGGCAGCCGGCAGCAGTGCCATGTGCCAACACCTCACAGCCAGACTCCCGTTTAGTGCTGAGTGTCAGAACCACCCCCAGAACCTCAGTTAAGCAAAGAGGTTAGTTTCCATGGAGACAGGGCATCCTTTCTCCATGGCAACCTGAAATCCCAAAACCCATTAGGCTCAGGAATGAGTCATCTGTGGCCAGTAGGAGGCACTCACACAAGGCTGACCCCAAGGCAGAAGGTTGAGCAATTGACCACGGACAAAAAAGGTGCCCCAAGGGTGAGGTTTGAGCCTGTGGGGAGATGGGCCCTGCTTAACCCCTTCCTTCCCACCCATGGTCTGAGGAGCCTGCTGCAGGGAGCTCTGTGTGGAGGCGTCAGCCCCACAGCTGAGGCCCTGGAATGGCACTTACATGGAAAGGATCCCTGTCCACCAAGGCTGGGCCCAGAACGGGAAGTGTGCACTGCCCAGGCTGAGTGAGTGGACACAGAAGAGTTAACTGGCGGGGTGTGACAGGGCGCACCGCCCTCAGGAAGTGTTACTCACCACCGGGAATGCTCTTGCCTTGGGGGCTGGATTGTCTTCCTGAGTCCCAGAAGTAACCGGAGGAGCTCCCCGCCATGGAAGCCCCTGGGGAGCCAGGAGCAGACCCTCTCGGAACCCCCAGCCTTTCAGACTCCTCGGCGCCTGGGCACCTGGAGAGAGAAAAGTTAGTGAAGTTGGAAGGGCAGCCCAGTGGGGCAGGGAGGGACTGCAGAGCGTGTCTGTCCCAGGGCAGAGGAGGAGGAAAGGGTTGGGCAAGGGTTCCAGCCCCTGGCCCCCTGCTCAGGTCTGGTGCCCGCCTCCAGGCCAGCCCAGGACCCGCTGTATGACGTGCCCAATGCCGGTGGGGGGCAGGCAGGTGGGCCCCAGCGGCCCCGGCGCGCTGTGAGCCTGCGGGAGCGCCTGCTGCTCACGCGGCCCGTGTGGCTGCAGCTGCGGGCCAACGCTGCAGCTGCGCTGCACATGCTGAGGACCGAGCCCCCGGGGGTGAGTCTTGCCCCCTACCCCCAGAGACTGGCCTGGTGGAGGGTGGGATGGAGGGGGGCAGGACACGAAGGTCCTGAGCCTCCGACCCATCCATTCTCAGACATTCCTGGTGCGGAAATCTAACACCCGCCAGTGCCAAGTTCTGTGCGTGCGGCTGCCCGAGGCCAGCGGCCCTTCCTTCGTCTCCAGCCATTACATCCAGGAGAGCCCTAGGGGTGAGCGGGACTGGCCCGGAGGGAAGGGGCTGGAAGCAGAGGCTGGGCGCAGGGGTATTCCACAAACAGCCTCACTTCCCCTCTCTCAGGCATCTCCTTGGAGAGTTCTGAGCTCGTCTTCCCGGACCTAGTCCAGCTCATCTGTGCCTACTGCCACACCCGGTGAGCCTGCCCGAGGTGCCTGGTGTCAGGTGTCCGCGGGACACGTGGTCCTCCCCGCCCCTCCAGCTGCAAGCATCCCTCACTTCCGACTTTATGCCCCCTCTCTGGCCTCAGGGACGTCCTTCTTCTCCAGCTCCAGCTCCCCAGAGCCATCTGCCAGGCAGCCACCCACAAGGAGCTGGAAGCCATCTCCCATTTGGGCATTGGTAAGGGCTCCCCTGCTGCCCATTGCACGGATGAACAAACTGAGGCCAAGGGGGGAAGAGAAGGCACTAAGGCGCACAGCCTGAGCCTGTGTCATGCTCTCCATTGGGCACACTCCCTGACTCCCTTGAGGTCCCCGTTGGTTTCTCTTCTCTAGAGTTCTGGAGCTCCTCCCTCAACACCAAGGCTCAGCCAGGCCCCCCTGAAGGCCCGCTGCTGCCCCGGCTGAAGCCCCGATCCCCACAAGAGCTGGACCAGGGCACCGGAGCCGCCCTGTGCTTCTTCAACCCCCTGTTCCCAGGGGATCTGGGTCCCACCAAGCGGGAGAAATTCAAGAGGAGTTTCAAAGTGCGTGTATCCACAGAGACCTCCAGCCCCCTGTCTCCACCTGCTGTGCCGCCACCCCCTGTCCCGGTGCTGCCAGGGCCAGCCCCCAGCCAGACAGAAAGGTTGCCCCCTTGCCACCAGCTGCTGCGGAGGGAGAGCTCAGTGGGGTACCGTGTACCCGGTACCACCTCCAGCCTCCCTCCCCTGCCCTCCCTGCAGGAGGTGGACTGTGGCTCCCCCAGCAGCTCTGAGGAGGAGGGGATGCAGGGGTTTCAGGGGAGTCCAGCAACCTCACCCCGCCTGAGGCTCAAGAGTCGCAGGAGGCCTTTGCTTAGGTCCATGAGCGCTGCCTTCTGCTCTCTGCTGGCACCTGAGCGGCAGGTGGGCCGGGCAGCTGCGACATTGATGCAGGACCGCCACACAGCTGTGGGCCAGCTGGTCCAGGACCTACTGACCCAGGTGCGGACTGGCCCAGAGCCCCAGGAGCTGCAGGGTATCCGGGAGGCACTGAGCAGGGCCCGGGTCATGCTGAGCGCAGAGCTGGGACCTGAGAAGCTGCTGCCACCGGATAGATTGGGTGAGACTCCAGCCCAGGCCTTTGCTGGTTCAGCCCTGTCTCTCCATAATTTCAACTCTTACCCACTCCACTCTCCTCCTCTTCCCGAGCCAGCCTGCATCTCATGACCCTTCAAGTGAGTTTCGCCTACCACTCTCCTGTCTCACCAAGATTCCTTCTCTTCATCCTGTCCCTCTCGGACTGTGCCCCTTCCCCTTAAGACTCTGTCCCCTACCCCGCGCTGGTTCTCCTGACCCCTTGCCTGCCTCTGTTCCACAGAACGTGTCCTGGAGAAGTCACTGCATCGCTCAGTGCTCAAGCCTCTCCGGCCCATCCTGGTGGCCCGACTGCAGCGCCGGCTTTCCGCTGATGGCTCTCTGGGCCGCCTGGCCGAAGGCTTCCGCCTGGCCCGGGCTCAGGGCCCAGAAGCCTTTGGGTCCCACTTGAGCCTGCCCTCCCCGGTGGAGATGGAGCAGGTGCGCCAGAAGCTGCTGCAGCTGCTCCGCGCCTACTCACCCAGTGCCCAGGTCAAGCGTCTCCTGCAGGCCTGCAAGCTGCTCTACACAGCTCTGAGGACCCACCTGGGTATGCCCCGCCTGCCACCTCCCACTGGCTCCTTGCTGTCAGAGGCAGGCCCCCAGGCAGATTCTAAGGGAAAAGATGGATCCAGCCCTCCCATCTTACAGATGGTCTAACTGAGGCCTGGATGTAAAGCATCCTCTCCCCAGCCCCTGCTTGTGGTTGCCACAGAGACCACATTGCCCAAGGCCTGGCAGGTGGAGGAGGGGGTCACTGGAGTGGACTCTGACTGTGGGGCCCAGAGGAGCCTGAAGCTTCCCTCTCCACTGTCGCCACAGGTGAGGGCGCGGGAGCCGACGAGTTCCTCCCACTGCTGAGCCTGGTCCTGGCCCAATGCGATCTTCCTGAGCTGCTGCTGGAGGCCGAGTACATGTCAGAGCTGCTGGAGCCCACTCTGCTCACTGGAGAGGGTGAAGGACCCCACACACATGCCACTTCCCTGTCTGGGTGGGGCTAGAGCACCTTAGCACTGCATGACCTGAGTAAGCAGAGAAGGGGAGAGGGGACATGTCACCCACCCCCATCCTGAGATGCTTTCTTCCCCTGTGTCCCAGGCGGCTACTACCTGACCAGCCTCTCTGCCAGCCTAGCACTGCTGAGCAGCCTGGGCCAGGCCCACACCCTCCCCCTGAGCCCCTCACAGGAGCTGCAGCGCTCCCTCAGCCTCTGGGAGCAGCGCCGCCTGCCTGCCACCCACAGCTTCCAGGTAACAGGGCCTCCACATCATCCGGCCCAAACTGAGACCCAGCAGGGGAAGGGCTGGTCCTTTGTCACCCTGTAATAGAAACAGAACCCCATGCAGAACAAACATCAAAGCCAGCCTTTCTAGAGAGAGTATGGTCCATGTGCGGCACTGTGCTCAGTGCTCTGGGGCTCAGTCCTGAATCTTCACAGAAATAGAGCGATCATTACCCCCGTTTCACAGATGAGGAAACTGAGACATGACATGGAGAGGGAAAGGGACACAGGTGGCAGGCTCAAGCCCCCAGTCCTGGCTTCCAGCCCCCAGCTGGGGCTCTGCCTACCCCTGGACTCAGGCTTCCCACCCATGCTCCCTCACCCTCCCATCTGGGCTCAGGCCTGGTGTTTGCAGACCAGACACCACCGCTGCCCTTCACCCTCCTCTCCACCCTTCCTAGACTTGGTTAAGAAGCGTGGAACCAGACTGTAGCCAGATCCTGGCTCTGCTACTTTCTGGCTGTGGGAGCTTGGGCAAGTTAGGTAACTAGTTTGAGCCTCAATTTTCTCATCTATAAAATGGGATAATATTATCTACCTCCTGGGACCTATATGAGGATTAAATGAGTTTAAGCAGGACAAGTGCTCAGGGCACAGAGTTAGCTCCGTCTGAGTGTGATGGTCAGGCTGTAGGCCCGCTGGGGCCCTCCCTCCAGTCTGCGGTGTGACCCCCTTGCCCAAGCACACCTCTCCCTTTCTCAGAGTCCCCCCTTGGACCTCAACTTATCCAAAAAGCTTTTTCCAGTTGGTTCTGCCCCTGGAATGATACTACCTGCCCCTGTCTCGGCAGAACCCAAACTGGAACCTCAAGCTTTGCAGCCAGGTGCATACCAGGCAGGGCTGAGTCCTTGGTTTCGCTTCTCCCCCCGCACAGCACCTCCTCCGAGTAGCCTACCAGGACCCCAGCAGTGGCTGCACCTCCAAGACCCTGGCCGTGCCCCCAGGGGCCTCGGTTGCCACCCTGAACCAGCTCTGTGCCACCAAGTTCCGAGTGACCCAGCCCGACGCTTTCGGCCTCTTCCTGTACAAGGAGCAAGGCTACCACCGCCTGCAGCCCGGAGCCCTGGCCCACAGGCTTCCCGCAACCGGCTACCTTGTCTACCGCCGCCACGCAGAGCGGCCTGAGGCACAGGGCGCCTTGCTTGGGGGTGCAGCAGAGGGGAGCTGCAGGGGGCCAGAGGCAGGGGGCAGGGAGGAGGAGGAAGGGGGCCCAGGAGAAGGGGACATCAGAGCCAAAGCCAGTCCCCGGGGCAGCAAGGCAGAGTCTGCGACAACTGCCGCACCGGATGAGAGCCGGACCAGAGGAGGCCCTGCTCAGCCAGATGGGCCAGAGGCTGAGGGAAGCCAGGCCGCAGAGGAGTAGCTGGGGGTGGCCAGAAGGGTCATTTGGGGCAGAAAACTCTGAGCCTGCTGGAAAGGCCCATCAGCCCCACTGACCAAGGCCACAGCCTCCTTAGCCTCCCCCCCCCCACTCTTGTGTCTGCCTCCCCCTCTGTCTATTTATCTACATGACAACCTGTTGGGGCAGTGCCTGGACTGGCTGCATCTGGGCATTGGAGTCAACTTGAGGGGGCTTGGGAGACCCAAGACCAAGGGCCCAAGGCCTTTGCCTTTTGTGCTTCTGCCCCTGCTGGAGGCTGGCCAGCCTGCAGTGCCAGTGTGCTCAGCCTCTGGCAGCCGGGGAGGAGCCACTGCCCAGGCGGCCCCTCCAAGCTGGGGGCTTCCTGGCCCCAAAAGTCTCCACCTACTCCTGGTGTCAGAGGATTCAAGGAGACAGCAGGGGCTCAGGGCCAGTCCTGCTCCAGACCACCTGGAAGAGTAGTGCCTCCAAACTTCAGTGTCCTCACTGTAAAGGGGGGCGCTGCCATCCTATCTTCTCCCTGAAACCTTCCAGGGGTCAAAATGGATGGGTTTGCTGCAGAGCAGGACTCAGACTATGGGGAAGGGGGAAAGGAGGTGAGATGTTAGCATTGCTTCCCCCGCCCC